GTCAGAGCGAGAGATAGGTTCACTCTGATGCAAAACTGGGTGCGCAAAGCCCCCACCTTTTTTTTTGACCATGTGTGTGAGTGGGGAGATTCCCATTTCATTCTATAGGCTCTAACGGTCAGAAAGAGATGTCAATCACCAAAATAGACCAATGGGTTCCAGAGAAACGGTAAAACACCCATTTCCACCCAAATCACCTCAGAAGTGGAGTTTTGTTTTCTAAACCTCTCTAAAAAGGTCAAATGTCACTTGTTTGGCATCAATCTTGATACAGGGTACTTATTATATGTTGTACTTTGGATTCCTAAAGCTTTTAGTCAGCTTAGTTGGAATTGGGTCTAAGATACACGTTGGTAATTTAGAAGAGATAATCATTGAATTTAATTGTTCAAGGTTTATGGCTGAAAAGCATTCTAATTTACTATCTAGTAATATTAGAACTTTCTTATATTCGTTGAGAGTAATATGCCAAATTAAACAAGATTCTTCAAGTTTAGTGGAATGCCATATCCTTTCAAGTTGTCTCGACTTTTGCTTTATTTTGCGGGTTTGGGCATTATGCCATGGAGCTAATCTATGTTGTTTTATTTTCTTCTTCTTTCAAAGGAGCAACAGAGTCTAATTTTATTTGCAGCGCATCTGTAGCACTATCAACAACATGATCAATTTGGGGTGGTGTACATTTTGTATAAGTTTCCTCCCTTACATGCAGACATGCTATCGAGTTAAGTATTGGTGGAATCTCTTCCTTAAATGTGGCTATAGCACTAACAGATAGGTTTCTGCTGCAGGAGCTTTTGACTAATGCTTTGTAGTCTCGTAACAGTACTTCAAAAGTTACTAAGAAATGGTCGGATAAAGCAGGATTATGCGGTTCAACTAATAGTTGCTCAATTTCAATACCATAAGTCAGAACAAGGTTGAGAGTGGGATTATAGCAGTGGGTTGGTTTATTTACACTCTGACGGAAACCAACATAATCTAATATAGAGTTAAATGCAACAGTAAGGCTATTTTTATCATCGTCAACATGAATATTAAAGTCACCTACGATAATTGGGCGAGACACCCCAAGTGAATAGGGTACTTTTTTTAACTTAAAGGTATCAACTAGACATTTCTCCAGTTAATTACTTACAATAAGGCAATTGTCTTTTGTATTACAAGTTTTCTGAAATAGCATGTTTAAATATGCAAATTATCCATTATCTCATTAAATATGCACATATTTTAACACATTTCAGGAATCGAAATCTGAACTTTGGATAAAGCCAGATTCAAAATTCTCGTTTCATTTTGTAGTCATATTAGTATCTAAGGCTTTTACAGAAGGGATATTGGATATCTCTTTTTATCACTCCACAAATCAGAAAACACTGTGAACAGCCCTAAAATGTCAATTTTTGCCATGTTTTTAGGTATACAATGTTGTATAATTCAGGCTATGAATGATATATTAACAAACCCTTCTGTAAAAGCCTTCATAATATTGATAGGAATATAACTGGAAGGTTTGGTGTCTCTACGTGCTACTGAAGTTGAAATTTCGAACTCAGAGTAGGAGAAAAAACTCATTTTGAGAAAACGATCTTTAAAGATGTGAAGCGGCTGGGATGAGGATCAGCACCTCCAAATCTGAGGCCATGGTTCTCAGCAGGAAACCGATGGACTGTCCACTTCAAGTAGGGAATGAGTCCTTACCCCAAGTGAAGGAGTTCAAGTATCTCAGGGTCTTGTTCTCGAGTGAGGGAACAATGGAGCGTGAGATGGGCCGGAGAATCGGAGCAGCGGGAGCGGTACTGCAGTCGCTTTACCGCACCGTTGTGACGAAAAGGGAGCTGAGCCAGAAGGCAAAGCTCTCTGTCTACCGGGCCATTTTCGTTCCTACCCTCACCTATGGTCATGAAGGATGGGTCATGACCGAAAGAACGAGATCGCGGATACAAGCGGCCGAGATGGGTTTTCTCCGCAGGGTGGCTGGCGTCTCCCTTAGGGATAAGGTGAGAAGTTCGGTCATCAGGGAGGGACTCGGAGTTGAGCCGCTCCTCCTTCGCGTCGAAAGGAGCCAGTTGAGGTGGTTCGGGCACCTAGTTAGGATGCCACCTGGGCGCCTCCCTAGGGAGGTGTTCCAGGCACGTCCAGCTGGGAAGAGACCAAGGGGTAGACCTAGGACCAGGTGGAGGGATTATATCTCTTCGCTGGCCTGGGAGCGCCTTGGGATCCCCCAGTCAGAGCTGGTTGATGTCGCCAGGGAAAAGAAAGTTTGGGGCTCTCTGCTGGAACTGCTACCCCCGCGACCCGACCACGGATAAGTGGGAGAAGATGGATGGATGGATGGATGGACCTTTAAAGATTGCAGTGAGGCGCTAGCTAAACCCTCCTGTTCTTTGAATGACATCGACGCACTCCGTGAAGGTATTTCATGTTCGGGGTCATTTGTGTTTTGTATAACCTTGCTTCGTGCAAGTGACAATTGTTGTCGTCTTCTCTGTGAAAGTTTTTTTCGCCGTTCTTTTGCCATTTTGAGATTTCAATTTCTAGCGGAAAGCTAACCAGGAAGTGTTTTAGCACACCACGTGACGCATCTGAACGAATCACGTTGTCAGAAATTGACACCAGCCAATGAGATTTCGTTTCTTGGTTTAAGACCCCTTTGTGCTTTCACGATTGGTTGCTGATACAAAGGAAATGACCATATTTGGATCCGATGAGATTGTGCAGGAGAGACGGAGCTTTCCAGCGATATCTCTGTTGACATGGTGCACACAGCGGTCACCGTACTTTATGTTACGTTAGAATGCTAACTTTTGGTGAATTTAGGAGAAATCTACAGACGCAAATAGACAAACTATAGTAAAATAAACACTTAAATGTGTATTTTGTACGTATTCCTTCCAAAAGCCTGAAAGAAAACATGTTATGGAATCAAAATAGCACAAAATCTCAAAATTGACCAGTACTTGAAAAACGATGTTTTTGCCTGCCGTGTCTCGCCTTAAGAACCAAAGTTGATAAAAACTCAGAGAATTCTGATAAGAATTCTGAATAAGGACCTGGTGCACGGTACACTGTAACACATAAGATTGGCTGCAAAGTTTTCCAGGTCGGATGTGTAAGACTAAAAACGAGGCTAATTTAATTTTGGTTTAGTATTGATAAGTAAACTTGAGTCAAAGACTGCTGCAACTCCACCTCCTCGGCCCGTGCCTCGAGCAATATGAGTGTTGATATGGCTGGGTGGAGTGGCCTCATTTATGCTGACATATTCTTCATGTCTCAACCAAGTTTCAGTGAGACAGCATATATCAATATTATAATCTGATATTAAATCATTTACCAATATTGCTTTAGATGCTAGAGATCTTATGTTTAAGAGACCACATTTAATCTTCCTGTTTTGTTGCACTGTAGGCAAGGCAAGGCAATTTTATTTATATAGCACTTTTCAGCACGTGGCGATTCAAAGTGCTTTACAGATTAAAAGCAAAATACATTTAAGAACAAATACAGCACAAATACATTATTAAAAAGGCATTTAAAAACAGGCATAAAAAGCAAAGATAATGAAATAAAATAAATAAATAAACCCAGCAGGTACAGAATACATGACTAAAAGGCATACTGTAGTGTGAGTATGGGCAGCTCAATTAAAAGCAGCGGCAAATAGGTGCGTTTTTAGTCGGGATTTAAAAATAGGAAGTGTTTCGGCGGACGTGCACGATTTAGGCAGTTTGTTCCAAATTGTTGGGGCATAATAACTAAAAGCTGCTTTTCCATGTTTAGTGGTTATTCTCGGAACAGAGAGCCGACCCAGAAGACCTGAGACTCCTGGATGCTTCATAGTGATGGAGGAGGTCGTCTATATACCTCGGTCCTAAGCCATTTAGAGATTTAAAAACTAGCAGCAGTATTTTAAAATCTATTCTTTGACACGCAGGAAGCCAGTGTAAAGACTTCAGAACAGGAGTGATCCACTTTCTTAGTGTCAGTGAGGACTCGAGCAGCGGCGTTCTGAATCAGCTGCAGCGCTCTGATAGATTTTTTAGTGAGACCTGTGAAGACACCATTGCAGTAGTCCAGTCTACTGAAGATAAAAGCATGGACAAGTTTTTCCAAATCCTGCTGTGACATTAGTTTTTTAATCCTTGATATATTCTTCAGGTGGTAGTATGCATACCTAATGACTGTTGTAATGTAACTGTTGAAATTCAGGTCTGAGTCCATCACTACACCCAGATGTCTTGCTTTGTGAGTTACTTTGTAGTCTGCCGACTGAAGCTCTGCGATTACTTTTAATCGGTCCTCTTTGCTCCAAAAACAATGATCTCAGTTTTTGTTTGTTCAGTTGGAGAAAGTTCTGAGTCGTCCAGTCAGTGATGTGCTCAATGCACTTGCTCAGTGTTCTAATCTGAGAGTAGTCTCCTGTTGTGATTTTAAAATAAATCTGGGTGTCGTCTGCATAGATGTGATAACTTAGATCACTGTTTTTAATCATTTCAGCCAGAGGTAGCATATAAATATTAAAAAGCAAAGGTCCTAAGATGGAGCCTTGAGGAACCCCGCATGACATATTTATCAGGGTTGATTTGTAATTGCCTATTGAGACAAAGTTTTGTCTGTCCTTTAAGTAGGAGCTAAACCAGTTTAGAGCTGTTGCTGAAACTCAGACAGTCTAGCAATATTTTGTGGTCAACAGTATCAAAGGCAGGCTGTAGTAGTTGTTACATTACTTTTATTAGGTTATTATGTATGACACCTCTATTAGGTTTTACCTTAACTTGTCCTTGGGCAGACACACACACCGCTAATATTGGGTATTTTATTGGGTTCAGGATTCCTATGGATGACTGCCTAGGAGAGAGCGCAGTAAGACTGCGACTCCGCCTCCTGGTCTCAACTCCAGTTTGACATGGATTAAGTCCACAAAGATCTGAGTACTTCTACTTTTACTCAAGTACAAGATCTGAGAACTTCTATTTGTACTCAAGTACATGGTTTTCTATCTGTGTTTTTTATTTATTTTAAATGTGTATGTATGCACCAAAACACCAAGTCAAATTCCTCGTACGTGTCAACCTACCTGCTAATAAACCTGTTTCTGATTCTGATTCTTCTGATAAAGTGGTGCTGGGATGTCCTATTTCTGTTTTGGACCCTGAAGGCAGCATATCTCCGGTTCAATGGAACCTGTCATTTCTACACCACTCTATTGTTCTCTGGAATAATGAGCAGCATGAAGACACACCAAAGCACATTAAATTAAACTGATTATTCATGTTGACGTAGATCTGATGATAAATCCAATACTCAGAATATTACACATTTAGTAAATACAGTGCACCTTGGTTTATACGTGACGTGTATCATCACCACATGGTATATCCCGTGTTAAAAGTATTATTGTGTGTATTATTGGTCTTCTCTAAAGAAGAGGGACCAATGAAAACGTTGGAACGTTGGAAACATTCATTAGCTAACAATGACATTATTGTTCTATTAATATAAAGGGAGGTCAGGTACTCTTTAAAACAGCTGCTTGTTACAGTATGGGTACTTTTTACTGAAGTACACTTCAAAGCCCATACTTCTTTACTTTTACTTGAGCAAAGAAGTTTAGTCAGAACTTCTACTTAAACCAGAGTATTTTTTAAACACGACTATCTGTACTTCTACTTGAGTACAGGATGTGTGTACTTCTGCCATCTCTGCTCACGTGAAACAAAGCATACTTTCTCTTCTCTTACAGACAGTCTATTTGTTCCAGATCTTTCCGTCCGCTCCCTGCCTCTGGTTGAGTCGGCAGAGCTGCCTCAGGAAGCCGTCGTTGGGTCCGATCTCTCGTTTGTGTCGCACCGTGGCCAGCGCCGTGTGCACGCTCATGCCCTGGCGCAGCATCAGGAAGGCGATGACTAGAGTGGGCGCGCGGCTGTAGCCCTCCCTGCAGTGCACGTACACTTTGCCTGCAGGAGAAGAGAGGAGGGGTCTTTATGTTTAGACCAATCAATATCAAATACCCGGTCAACACAGAGGGACTCGGGTCTCCGATATCAACCCACGATTCCTTTCTACTCAATGCAACCATTTCAACTCTCATCCCTTCGTCCCTTCACCACAACCTGCATCCCTTTATCTCTCTTTCCCTTCATCCCTTCCTCCCTCCTTCCCTACATTCCTTCATGCCTCCCTCCTTTCCTGACTACATCCCAACTTCTCTTCATCCCTACTTCTCTATTTCCCTTCATCCCTCCTTTGTCCATCGCTTCCTTCCTTTTTGTCATTGATCCCTTTATCCCTATCCTCCTTTCCTCCCTTCCACCCTTTATTGTTCCCTTCTTACATTCATCCTTCCTTTCATCCCTTCATCTCACCCTCCTCCTTTCCTTTGATCCCTCACGCCTCCCTCCATCCCTTCTTCTCTAATTCCCTTCATTCATCCCCCTTTCCTTACATCTCTTCAACCCCTTCGCCCATCCCTTCCACTTTTCTTCCCTCCTTCCCTTCATCACTCCCTTCCTACATATCGTTGACCCTTCCTACCTCCCTACCTCCGTTCAACCTTTCATCTCTTTTTTTTATTCTTTATTTATTTGGGGTCACATTATAATACAAGTACAGTTTTTCAAATCATATATTTTTAGAGATCCGAAAGTGACAAATGAAATAGCAAACAAAATTAGTCAAAATAAAATAAAAACGAAAAAGTAAACAGGGGTTGTTTGAAATAGCAAATATCTACACATGTACATATGCATACATATCAACATACATATATACATTCAATACACATACACACATACATGTGACCATACATACACATCTATACATATACATTCAATCGGTGTAGAAACACAGTCAAACAAGGGATGGTCGTCTTTGGGATATGTAAACTCTCCACTCTTTCCATATTTCGTCAAATGTGTTTTCCTGAAGCCTCGTTGAGAAGGTGATTCTTTCCATAACGTAGATTTCATGGATTTTGTCATACCATTTGTCGAGAGAAGGGATATCCGCTTTGAGCCATTTTCTAGTTATTGCTTTCTTTGCTGCAACAGTAAGAATTCCAAATAGTTGTTTTGGAGTTTGTGGAGATTGCATGTACGAGCCCAATTAGAAATTCGTCCCAGTTTAAAGGGATTTTTTCCTGTCGTACTATTTTCAATTTCTATATGGATCTTTTGCCAAAAAGTTACTATTAAAGGGCAAGCCCAAAACAAATGGTAGTGATGTGCTAACTGAGAACCACATTTCCCCCTGGACGATGTGATGACTGAGCAGGGCTGAACAAGTACCTGCTCAGCATCTTCCAACTGAGCATCCTGTCGGTGCCTGAGCTCGAGATCTTCCATTGAAAAGTACAGTCATTTGTCCAGACTTCGTCAGGGATGGGTTTTTTTGTTTCGTTTTCCCATTTGTGTTTTATATAGAAAGTATTTTCCTTTTTAATATCTTGACGAGCTTGGTGAAGTTTTGAGATTGCTTTCATCCCTGTGTCTGATGTGTTGGTGAAAACTATTAATAAAGGGGTTTCAAGGGCCTTCTGGCTGTCTGACAGGGAACTATTTAAGTAATGGCGTACCTGTAGAAATCTAAAAACATCACCGTTATTCAATCCATATCGTTTTTTTAGTGTTTGAAAATCAAACATGGTTCCTTTGCTGAGAAATGTGCAATATGAAGTAAGGCCATGTTTGGCCCAACCTTTACATTTTGTATCTAGCTTGCTCGGGGTGAAATCAAGATCATGTGAGCACCATCTTCATATCTTTTTTTCCTCCAGCAAGTCACTTCTGGTAAGGACCCTTAACCATCATTTTAAGGAGAGGTTAATCCAGCGGTTATCTTTTTCCAGTAAGTTTTTAACATGTCTTTTATCCCCTAACCTTGCCTCCATGGGTACTCCCCCTGATACATTATTCTTTCCATCTAGCTCTGTAGTCTGGCTCGCACCAGCAGAACAAGCTTCTTAATTGGGCTGATATATAATAATCCTTCAAGCAGGGGAGCGATACTCCTCCCTTGTTTTTTGCTAGTTGAAGAGTACAGAATAAAATCCTTGGTTCCTTCCCTTGCCAGATGTACCTTGATATGGTTTCATCCCATTCGTTAAACTGCTTGTCTGTGATTTCAATTGGTAGATTCTGGAAAAGGTATAAGAGTCTAGGTAGGATGTTCATTTTCACTGATTCTATTCGAGATTCAAAGCTCAGCACTGGGATCAAGTTCCATCTATTTATGTCTTCTTTTATTTTCTGACTTAGAGGGTTGAAGTTTAGTGTATACAATTCCTCTGAATCTTTAGAGATGCTTACTCCCAGATATTTTAAGTGGTTCAGATCCCAATTAGGTTCAAAGGTTGAGTTTATATGTTGGCTTGGCTTGTAATTAAAGCTCAGTATTTGGTTTTTTGTTATATTGAGTTTGTACCCTGACAGAACTATAAGTATCCAAAAAAGTCAGTAAACTCAAGAATGATTCATCTGGGTTTGACAGGTATATTAATATATCATCAGCAAATAATGATCATTTATGTTCCTGACCATATACTTCTACACCGGTAATATTGTTATTTTGAGTAACCCCCAAACTCAGAGCTTCGATATAAATTGCGAATAACATTCCTCTCTTAATCTATTCATCCCTAACACCCTAAATCTTTTTGACTTTCAATCCCATGCTTTTTCCCTACATCCCCTACATCCTTTCGTTCACCAAAGCTTAGGATACAGCTTACGTTCATTAACATTCCTGTTTTATTTAGTCTTTGACATCCTCTCACCTTTTCCATTTTTGTACGCCAGCGCTTTCTCGATGAACTCCGCCCCCTCCTCAAAGTAAACGCTGATGTCGAAGTGGTCGGTGTCGCTGGCTGCTACGCCGTGGTACGTGATGCTCGTGCCGGCGTAGAACTCAGCGTTGGTGTTGACGTGCATGAAGGAGTTTCCTTCAGCGGCGTTCAGGATGTGAGTGATGCCCTGACGCTTCAGACGCATCACGTTCATCGCCACAAACCTGCGTCAAATGATAATTAAACAAATACACAAAAAAGTTTAATTTACACTTTAAAGAGTCCTCTCCTGCTGATGTTCAGGTGTATATCAGTATGTAGTGTCTCTACTTTAAAGAGTCCTCTCCTGCTGATGTTCAGGTGTATATCAGTATGTAGTGTCTCTACTTTAAAGAGTCCTCTCCTGCTGATGTTCAGGTGTATATCAGTATGTAGTGTCTCTACTTTAAAGAGTCCTCTACTGCTGATGTTCAGGTGTATATCAGTATGTAGTGTCTCTACTTTAAAGAGTCCTCTCCTGCTGATGTTCAGGTGTATATATGTATGTAGTGTCTCTACTTTAAAGAGTCCTCTCCTGCTGATGTTCAGGTGTATATCAGTATGTAGTGTCTCTACTTTAAAGAGTCCTCTCCTGCTGATGTTCAGGTGTATATCAGTATGTAGTGTCTCTACTTTAAAGAGTACTCTCCTACTGATGTTCAGGTGTATATCAGTGTGTAGTGTCTCTACTTTAAAGAGTCCTCTCCTGCTGATGTTCAGGTGTATATCAGTATGTAGTGTCTCTACTTTAAAGAGTCCTCTCCTGCTGATGTTCAGGTGTATATCAGTATGTAGTGTCTCTACTTTAAAGAATACTCTCCTACTGATGTTCAGGTGTATATCAGTGTGTAGTGTCTCTACTTTAAAGAGTCCTCTCCTGCTGATGTTCAGGTGTATATCAGTATGTAGTGTCTCTACTTTAAAGAGTACTCTCCTACTGATGTTCAGGTGTATATCAGTGTGTAGTGTCTCTACTTTAAAGAGTCCTCTCCTGCTGATGTTCAGGTGTATATCAGTATGTAGTGTCTCTACTTTAAAGAGTACTCTCCTGCTGATGTTCAGGTGTATATCAGTATGTAGCGTCTCTACTTTATAGAGTCCTCTCCTGCTGATGTTCAGGTGTATATCAGTATGTAGTGTCTCTACTTTAAAGAGTCCTCTCCTGCTGATGTTCAGGTGTATATCAGTATGTAGTGTCTCTACTTTAAAGAGTCCTCTCCTGCTGATGTTCAGGTGTATATCAGTATGTAGTGTCTCTACTTTAAAGAGTCCTCTCCTGCTGATGTTCAGGTGTATATCAGTATGTAGTGTCTCTACTTTAAAGAGTCCTCTCCTGCTGATGTTCAGGTGTATATCAGTATGTAGTGTCTCTACTTTAAAGAGTACTCTCCTACTGATGTTCAGGTGTATATCAGTGTGTAGTGTCTCTACTTTAAAGAGTCCTCTCCTGCTGATGTTCAGGTGTATATCAGTATGTAGTGTCTCTACTTTAAAGAGTCCTCTCCTGCTGATGTTCAGGTGTATATCAGTATGTAGTGTCTCTACTTTAAAGAGTACTCTCCTACTGATGTTCAGGTGTATATCAGTGTGTAGTGTCTCTACTTTAAAGAGTCCTCTCCTGCTGATGTTCAGGTGTATATCAGTATGTAGTGTCTCTACTTTAAAGAGTACTCTCCTACTGATGTTCAGGTGTATATCAGTGTGTAGTGTCTCTACTTTAAAGAGTCCTCTCCTGCTGATGTTCAGGTGTATATCAGTATGTAGTGTCTCTACTTTAAAGAGTACTCTCCTGCTGATGTTCAGGTGTATATCAGTATGTAGCGTCTCTACTTTATAGAGTCCTCTCCTGCTGATGTTCAGGTGTATATCAGTATGTAGTGTCTCTACTTTAAAGAGTCCTCTCCTGCTGATGTTCAGGTGTATATCAGTATGTAGTGTCTCTACTTTAAAGAGTCCTCTCCTGCTGATGTTCAGGTGTATATCAGTATGTAGTGGTCTCTACTTTAAAGAGTCCTCTCCTGCTGATGTTCAGGTGTATATCAGTATGTAGTGTCTCTACTTTAAAGAGTCCTCTCCTGCTGATGTTCAGGTGTATATCAGTATGTGTCTCTACTTTAAAGAGTCCTCTCCTACTGATGTTCAGGTGTATATCAGTGTGTAGTGTCTCTACTTTAAAGAGTCCTCTCCTGCTGATGTTCAGGTGTATATCAGTATGTAGTGTCTCTACTTTAAAGAGTCCTCTCCTGCTGATGTACAGGTGTATATCAGTATGTAGTGTCTCTACTTTAAAGAGTCCTCTCCTGCTGATGTTCAGGTGTATATCAGTGTGTAGTGTCTACTTTAAAGAGTCCTCTCCTGCTGATGTTCAGGTGTATATCAGTATGTAGTGTCTCTACTTTAAAGAGTCCTCTCCTACTGATGTTCAGGTGTATATCAGTGTGTAGTGTCTCTACTTTAAAGAGTCCTCTCCTGCTGATGTTCAGGTGTATATCAGTGTGTAGTGTCTCTACTTTAAAGAGTCCTCTCCTGCTGATGTTCAGGTGTATATCAGTATGTAGTGTCTCTACTTTAAAGAGTCCTCTCCTGCTGATGTTCAGGTGTATATCAGTATGTAGTGTCTCTACTTTAAAGAGTCCTCTCCTGCTGATGTTCAGGTGTATATCAGTATGTAGTGTCTCTACTTTAAAGAGTCCTCTCCTGCTGATGTTCAGGTGTATATCAGTATGTAGTGTCTCTACTTTAAAGAGTCCTCTCCTGCTGATGTTCAGGTGTATATCAGTATGTAGTGTCTCTACTTTAAAGAGTCCTCTCCTGCTGATGTTCAGGTGTATATCAGTGTGTAGTGTATCGACTGTGACATGTCTCCAGGCTTTAATGTTCAAAAACATTTTTATTTCCCTCATACTGCTTAAATATGGTGTATGGTACATTTTGAGCAAAAGCATTATTAATGTCTTTTAAACAAGGAAAACAATGTACCCTTTTGATCATGAAGCCAAATCGACCTAAAAACAAGCCCCGTCTGAACCCCTTAAAGTGACATTGGCATATAGACGTCTCTGAGCTGTCTCTGAGATGCTGTAGCCAACCACTTGGCACCTCCTGCCTTTTTGAAATGTAGAACGCTAAAAATAGCGTCCCTTCAATAGCGTCAGTGGTTCCCAAACTGATTGAAACGTCACGCCTCCACAAAACATAAAAAACTGTCCAGACAATACAGAGCCAGGACATGAACACAGAGAAGCTGCAGACACATATCTGCACTGAGCGTTAGGGGTGTAACGGTATCCGTCACGGTTCGGCACATGCAGTCACACGACGAATACGCCTTTTTTTTTACGAGTGGGAAAAAAGTCTGTCATTCAGGGCAGTATCCACTAGACCAGGGGTGCCCAACCAGTCGATCGCGATCGACCGGTCGATCGCGGGGAGATTCCCAGTCGATCGCGAGATGTGTCTAAAAATAGAACAACAATATTCTGTTTTATCGTTAATGTCCTGTAACATAATCTTCCTGTGCCAGAATAATGCACTTGAATGCATCAAAGCTTTGTGATTGGCCGCCGTGACCCCATGTGTCGGGGGCGTGGCTAGTGGGCAGTGCACTAATTCGCTAACGTTGTCCGTGTCAACAGGAGTGACAGTCCGCACACAAACAAGACCGCAATTATGGCAGAAGCAAAACATATATAATTTTCACTCCGAGTGGGAGGATGATTATTTTTGTATCTATTCCAATTCAAAGTCCATCTGTCTCATCTGCAATGCGAGCGTGGCTTTATCGAAGAAGGGTAATTTAGGAGCGGCATTTCAAAACAGTGCACAAACGCTACGAGACGGAATTCCCTCCTGATTCTGCCCTACGCTCCAAAAGGGGAGGGGCCTGAGAGGACAGCTAAATGCACAGCAGTCCATTTCCACCAGGCCCAACAACAAGAGCAAGGCTGCTACCAGAGCATCTTATCGTGTCAGTCACGTTCTTGAGAAACACATGAAGTCTTTCAAAGACGGCGAAGTTGTGAAAGAAGCATTCCTGGAGGCTGCCGACGCGCTTTTTGGGAAGAGTAAAAAACGGTAGCATTTCAACAGGTTTTTGATATAATAAAAACTCAAGTTAGATACCGTTATTAATCAGATGTAAGTTTTAGTTTGTTTGAACTTATTCATTATAATTGTACTAAATGGTATAAGAATGCAAACTTAAATTGATTATAGTCCATTATCAATTCAGGTTCAGAAACTAGTGTTGCTTGCTTCTTATTTTAAAGGCATTTCTTTTTATAATCTACTAAAATGCAACAAAAAAAAGGGTTTGATTCTATTAATGTTGTCTTTTTTATTGCACTTTGGCAGCAGATTCCTGAGTAGCTTCAGATCTGAGTCGTCTTATTAGTAAGCCTAATTTATACTTTTGTAGCAACACTATTTGTATATAATGGCAAAGAAAGGGTTCAGAGTCTTTTCTTTTCTTCCTGAGTCATATGTGGCAGCACGGTTCAATGTTTCTTGAAAACATGACCCACTGTAGTGACGTGTGAATAAACTCCAACTCTGTATCAACAGCACTGTTGTGTAACTTCAGTTCAATACTTGTATGTGTGTAGATTAGAAAGAGGTAAGATAAAGGCATTATTTTATGAAGTATTAATCGTACGAAGGTCAGTTTTATACAAGTAGAAGTGTGTATTTACCTGGTAGTAGGCTGTCAGTAATGGCTACGTCTCTCTATTTGGACTGGTAGATCTCGGCAGACTGGCAACTTTAAAAGTAGCTCTCGGTTAAAAAAAAGGTTGGGCACCCCTGCACTACACTATATATAATCCAGGGGGCGGTATTGTGCCTAAAAGCTGTTTGCCAGCCGCCCTTAAACAACAAATGAAGAACAAGAAGAAACACAACAACACAACGAACAAAATACAAGAAGAAGAAAAGTTAGTATGGCGATTTCAGATAACACACAGGAGCTAGAACCACCTGCTTCTTTTAAATCAGCTGTGTGCAGTAGCGTGGCGTGGGGGAAAATGTAGGGGAAGCCCATTTTTTGGGTCGGGGGGTGGTCAATAACGTAACCAGATGAGTGATTACAGCGCCCGGTATCATTTTACACACATTTGTATCACACAGATGCAGGACTTGCACACGCCTGTTATCTAACCGACAGGTCCGCACGCACTCTCCAGCTGAAACTCTCTCCTTATTAATTTAAGCATTTTACTTATTAATGTATGCAGACAATCACACAATCTATGTGATTTTTGGATTTACCGTGCCTCTCAATTGCCCGTGACAGGTTGGCAAGGTCGATGAATCCTGAAGTTGCCCAAGGATTGTTCAGGGAGCACGAATCCTTGTCAAAAAGAAGACATGGCCAGCAAATTAGACGCTGAAGTTTAGCGCTTCCAGTTAGCCACTCCGTGCGGACATAATTGTCCTCATTGAACGTCCGATTCTCTCCCTTTTTCCTCTGCGTACACACAGCTCGAGTGCGGGCATTTGCCTGTCATCTGATTTAATTTGTAGTTGCTGCTGTAGCGGAAGTTTAGTAAAGTTATGTTTGATTAAGTACGCCAAATCTCCACCCTCCATAATACTTCATTTGCTTGATAATTTCTAACGGCGGTGATGACAGTTACAGTATTACAACTGATGTTGATGTGATTTGATTGGATGGCAGTGTCCAATCAAATCGCCAGCCGCCAGCCGCCTCTGAAGGGAAGCAAGAGGCGGCTAGCTTCCCTTGGCATGGCCCTGACCAATCACAGGTTGGCAGGGGCATCACGTGGGCCTCATCTGATTGGTCAATCCCTCCATTTTTTTTCACCAAGGGAAGCTAGATTCGGCTGGCCTCCTCTCGCAACAGTGAGTGCAATCTACTGTTTCACCATAACATCTAGAGGGGCGCTGTTTGTTTCACTCTTTGTAAAATACTCAATGAGAATGGGGGAGAGCCGGGCCGGCAGCAACACACAGCAAAGGAGAATTATCGAAACAAAACAAAGTGTTTGTATTTATTTATTTAAATTATAACTACAATCCGAAAAAACAGGGGAAGCCTGGCTTCCCTTGGCCTCCGGGAGAAAACGCCACTGGCTGTGTGGGAACATTTCGGGTTCCCTGTGGACTAAATAACGATGAAGTGCGCGAGTGGTGGATCGGGAGGACGGTGTGTCGGCGTTGTTCGACAGCGGTGCGGTATGCTAATGAGAACACATGCTAAATCATATCAGAAGGCATCACCCAGATTGGCCAATCACCGGAGCCCGGGAAAAGACAACAGCAGTTCAGCAGCTGATCCCCGCTGCTTTTAAGAAGGCAAGAGACATGAGAGCCGAGAGACCAACATAAATAACGGAAGCTTTTGGCATATGTTTTTCAACGACTTTGCGCTCTTGAAACACTTTCTTATTATTTATGATGTAATATTTTCAAGACATTATTTTTAGTTTTACAGCTTGATGAAACCTTTTTGTTTGACATCAGCCATTATAGATGATATGGCCATCTGAGTGTGTATGGTTTGTTTTTAACTGTTTAATACAGTTAATTATTCAAAATGTCAGAGTTCCTTATTTTTAAACTGAAACTTGCTACTGTTCAAACATAAATAACAACAAACCTGGAATTATGCATTTGGGACTTTCTTTTGCTTTTCCTTGTTGTACCGAACCCGTACCGAACCGTGACCTCCAAACCGAGGTACGAACCGAACCGTGACTTCTGTGAACCGTTACACTCCTACTGAGCGTTGTTCTAATAAAACAGAAACGGTGTTGAATGTTTAATGATTCTGTCCTGTTATCACTCCTGTAGGAAGGAAGGAGGATTAAAGGAGGCACGAGAGAGGGTTTCTCTGGACAAATACACTGGGATGCATTGAGCATGGGGAAAGATGTTCTGTTTTAGATTACTGTACTGAACTCTCAATAGCCTTAAGATCTATGCTTCATATATATAGTCTATATATGCACAGTCTATGCTTTAGTTTACGGCCATCAAACATTGCTATATCTTCCAGCTGAGCGTCAAACTTGCAAAGACTTTCATATTTTCTCCCATGATGCAACACATGGAAACCACCAGTCTTAACATACATTTATTTTTTAGGTAAAATAAGTTTTAATATTATAGTTGTACAAATGGATGGGAATTATATTTGACTGTGTAATTGTCAGTGTGATAGAATCTATGTCATGTTTTTAGTTAATTGTATGTCAAAGTCAATGTATATTTATTTATGGTCGTTGAAGAGTAAAGATATTAAAAAGCGTGTTGTGCACAGCTGTTGTTTAATTCACCGACTTCTTTCTGCAGATGAATATGTCGGCACATGTTCGGTCTGTTCTACTTAGCAACAGTGTGTTAGCGAGTATTAACATTGACCAGTCAGAATTGAGTAAGCCGTGTAATAAAGTCTTTTTCGTAAATGTTCCCAAACTGGTAGCTATGTGTTTACAAAGACATAATGCAGACTTTAATTGAAATGCTGAGTTCAGACAGAAAGGGATCCTCCGTCCTGTCCTCGTTTCTTCCATACCATTCGTCAGCCTCATCAAATATTAACCACGTTTCTTTCTGATGTTTCTCTGACGCCTCAAATGGGAAGATTAAACATATACACATTTATGTTTAACCTTCATAAAAATGCCTCAAACAGTAATTAAAAAACAGCAGGGATTTTTAATCACAATAGATCATGGCATTCATTTGCTAGGTGATTCTAGATTCTTCTAAAACACATGGTATTGTTGGTACTGATCACTTACTGCAGGTTAAGATATTACTTTGTGATATAAAATAATACAATAACCTTATTCGAACCCAGTTTGTCTATTGTCATGCCAAATATCAAATCATTTTGTGATTTAAATGATATATTATAGGATCATTTGCGGTTTTTAAAATGAGAATGTGTTGTTTTATTTGCATTCGAAGCCAAAAGTGATTCAGAATCTGCTTCTTACTTAACTTAAATAAAACTGCCTCCCTTTAAGAAATCAAACAGTATCTAATTATCAGTCAGCAGGGATTTTTTATGAATCATAGCATTTATTTTTACTAGATTATTCTTGTCACTTAAAATGTGCTTCAATTAACCCAACAGTGATCCCTTAGCATCCTCAATGCTAATCTGTTTTCATACGTGGTTTAGTATATTATAACAACCCTAATCAGACACACCATTTCATCCTATTGCATAGAATATAATGTAGAATGCAACATGTATTTATAGAAATAGCACCTTTTAACACAAGGCAGTTCAAAGTGCTTTACAAAAATGAAAAACATTGAGAGCAATAACAAATAGTGATTGTAATACCATTGTTAACTTTCATCCCATTACATAGAATATAATGTAGAACGCACTCGGATAATTATTCATATTCTATTGTTTTCATTGCACCATTGAAGCAAACAACTGTTGTCCAGAATTTATGGGGATCGTTTTTACTTCGTGACTGGAACTATTATTGGAAATGGAAATGGGAATTGGAAAGCAACATGATTACCGTTTATAACCTCTCTATATGCAGATGCACGATCAAAACAACGTGCACTCACGCGTTTCCCACGTAGATCCTCGGGTAAACCTCATGGAAGTGTCTGGTGGGCCAGCTGTAGAATCCGCTGCTGTCCGTCAGCAGGTCGTTCAACTGCTGGATGGAAACCTCGAACTCTCCCCCCGGGGGGTCCTGTCGCTCCGCAGCCGCTTTCTGCTGCCTGTGGCTGTCCTTCATGCCCGGAAACTGGAAGGAAATGTGGCGGACAGGTGTCGGTTTACCGGGGAGAAGAACCGGCGAAGTGCGCCTGCCGTTAGTTATGGAAGGCCAACAGTGCCATAAAATCAAATAGTTTTAACACTGTTTTTTTGTTAAACAAACGTTTTTTCGTGCCTTTCATGGGGATAACATATGAACAAGGTTATAGTATACAACATACTTTTTTTTTAAAAGTCAAGTATGTAAAAAAATATGAAAATAGTCTAAATATAGTACATAATGGCAGCCTACTGCTCCTAACACTAGGATGGGTCAAATGCAGAATGTAAAATGTCCCCTCTGTGGGACGATTAAGGGTATATAAAATAAAACAAATACAAATAATAATATGAAAAGAGTCATATTGAAGTATGGTTAATAATATTAAAAAGGTCCTATTATAGTATGTCAAAGAATGTGAAAAAAGTCATAGTATAGTATGTCATAACATTTGAAAAAATAAATTGTACAGTATGTTAAAAATATGAAACAAGTTGCTTTCTGCTGTCTATCCTTCATCCCCGAACACTGAAGACCCGTTAAATGTTGTGGAAAGGTTTGGTCCCTTTTGTGGTTTTCGTGGTGCGAAAATATGAAAATGTATGGTATACATTATATACTAAAAAGACGCTTTGAATAAAAGCGTAAGCCAAATCAATTGTTATGTCAAAATGTAATGTAATATAGCACGTCTTAAGTCAGAGCATAGTACTTTTATACTATTTTTATAAATGTGAGTATTGTATGTCATAACATATGAAAAAATGTATTGTACAGTATGATAAAATGAAAGAATAGTGCAAGAAGTCTATATACACGTAAATAGAATATGATATAAACAAGAGGATTGAGATGAATGGGTTTATAGATGGAAAGATAAGAGACTCAAACTGACCTGGGATTATTAAGGTCTTGCAATAATCCTTGTGGGCGTCACTTAGTGATGTGTCGGTCGCGAACAAGCCGATTCTTATGACCGGCTCTTTGGTACGAAGGGAACCGAGTCACACTTGGTGAAAGCCGTTCTTTTTATCGTTCAATCGTTGGTCCGCACTCACTGCCTGCCAAAATACATTCGCCTTTTAAAAAGCTTGATTTTGTTCCCCAAACGTATTCCTCCTACTCTGATTGGTAGGTTTCAGCACGAGGAGTGAGATGGGGTTGGTCTTAACGGAATACGCGCGAGAGAGAAGTCATAACAAGTGGTACAGGACAGGTAGACGACGTGTTTTTCGGATAAAATGAGCCAAACGCGAAAACGCAGCAGCATTGGATGCACTTCAACCAAAACCCAGGCAGTGATAAAGCGCACCATTTGTAAAGGCAACATATCCTTTAAAGCAGGGTCAACAAATAATCTCCATCGCCACTTAAAAACACAGTATCTAATATTAAGAGTTGCGTGAATTTCATTCAAGGCAAGGCAACTTAATTTACTACAGAGGGTACATTCAAAGTACATGACATGAATGACATGGATATGGCGCCACCTTGTGTCATGTTTACAATGCCGATTATTGACATTAAGTCTGGCAATACAGTTAATCATTATCCTGGTGATCATTTCGCAGATAAACCTAGTAACCCCGCCCCCTTTTAAAAAAAACGGCTCTTTTGAACGGCTCTTTTGAACGGCTCTTTTGAATGGCTCTTTTGAACGGCTCTTTGAAAGGAACGAAGCCATAAGATCCGGCTTCCTTCAAAGAGCCGTAATTCCCGTCACTGTGTAATGATTTATTGTTTTACAGATACATGGTCCAATTTGACTACATGTAGAAATGTTATAGATGCTTTGTAACTGTGACTCACTAGTGGTGCTCACTCATGCTTGCAAGCCTTAAAGACCTTAGGAGGATAAAGTTACAACAAGCCGTGTTCAGACCGTGTTCATATTACAGGAAGAAGTGAGGAATTAAAGATTAACTCGGCCAGGGCATTGTTAATCGTTGTCCTGGTTTAATCATAAACTCTTAATAAAAAGGTGAAACCAGGATAGAGGAAGACGAAGACATATTTAAAATGTAAGTTGATGTGAAGAAAAGAAACGTCATGTTTGTGAATGTTAGAAATGGACGCTTAAAAAACAGTATAAAACTTCTGAGGGATTCACTTGAGTGTCTTCTGTTTTGTGTCTTCATTCCACTGTTAAACTGCACTGAGGTAAATATGCATTACATCCAGCGTCCAATCAGTGACTGGTACGCAGTGAGGGGCATGTTGGCCGGCAGCGTCCAATCACGTGCTGTCCTTTAGGCTAGATTTTATAGTCTTCATTCAATGACTGGTTTATTATATCTCAGAGTGTCACTGCAGCGCGCTAACACACACACACACACACACACACACACACACACACACACACACACACACACACACACACACACACACACACACACACACACACACACACACACACACACACATACACACACACACACACACACACACACCTGGAGTATCAGGTAAATACTATTACAACACTTTGATTTGGTGAAACTGTGACCTTTGAATCACATGGATTACCATCATTCTGAAAGTAATACATGTCAAACAAATGTGTTTCAAATGGTAGTTTTTCTGGAGAGGAACACTGGACTATGGTCTGTCTTTTTGTCTCTCTACAGATGGCTGTTTTTGTACGAGCACCACTTGTTGCTGTTCTCGTGTGTGTGATCGTGACCTGCGTTTTTATATCTTACTATACATTTCCTGTCGATTTCTCGACCCATATTGTTCCTAACAGAGACCGTCCTTCAACAACAAAGAGGTAAAGTTACTGTGTGTGTTCGCGTGTGTGTGTGTGTTCGCGCGTGTGTGTGTGTGTGCGTGCGTGCGTGCGTTAGGTACATAGATATGTTATTAGCCATGACAAATCCGAAAGGATTTAAAAATAATAATAGTTATACAAATAATACAAATAATGGAAACGATAGTAATATACTTTGTACAATAATTTAAAGAATAAAATACAAATACAATTTATTTTTTTGTTGTAATGTATATTTATATTTATATTAATTTTAGTATATTTAACTCTAAGTGGGACCATGATCTACTCAATGGACATCATGCTAATGAACAAGAATTAAAAGAGAGATCAAGAACATGAACTCATCAGGAAAATGTTAGCGGTGAATTCCCTTCAATAGTGTTTTTGTTTGTCAGACAGTCTATAGATTTGTTATCTTCACGGTCATCAGTATTTTGTTTATTTCTACTCTTTTATTTGTACTTATGTGCAATGCCTTTTTTTTGTTTGGGATTAATAAAATACATCTGATCTTATCTAATAAATCCCAATGAAACAAGGGTTATTTTTTCATAGACTTCTATACAATCGGACTTGTTTTTGTGGGGTCTCCACCTGAAAAACAGTTTCTTCTGAATTAGCTTCACTTCTCACCGTGTGGTCATTGGGGTTCTTTACTGATAACATGACAAAGAAGTCAAATTCATTTTCACTTCAGGACTTCCAATCCAACCCCCACTTTCACAGGTTGCCACCCCCTCTTCCACCGAGTCATCTTCCCTCACCTGGTCCATGCACCTGTGCCAACGGTTCAACGCTGCTCAAAAACTTGCTGCCTAAGAATCAGGCGGAGGAGCTGATAAAACGCAGAGAGAAGGAGTTCCAACGACACAAAGCCAGGTAGGGAGCGGCAGCTTTCCATTGGCAATATGAATAGTTTATGTAAATAACCCAATGTGATTTCTTTGAACCTGAAAAGGAGATTCAGTGTTTTTGTTTCATTGCGATTGCATACATCTTAACGTAACTTCCTGTTTTATAGACATGCTTTTATTTAGAAGGCGACTTTGCGCTGTTAGCAGGAAGTCACTGTTCCCAAAGCAAAGACGGAGAAAAAGAACGGAGATAAAGAGACATTAACGGAGATATCAACATTTAAATACGCCGATATCAAAGGATAAAGTTTACGTTGAAGTGTTAGCAAGAGGCTCACGGTTAGTGTTAACTGTAATATAAACATGTGCTTTGTGTCTTTATTAGTTTATATACTGTATTATAACTTTGTTATAACTATTTGAAGTTCACTTGTTGAATGGTATGCTAAAGTAATGCTCATATGGATGTAGCTTAAATGTATTTGTTGTTTTGTGTCTTTGTGTAGCTCTTACGTTGTTTTTTTTAGTTTTCAATCAATTAGAAATCATCAGTCAAGTGTACGACCATCTTTCGGAGGGATATGCTACAGTTTATATCATAAAATATAGATACTTGGCGTCTGTGTATCGACACAATATTGCCGCGCAAAGTATCGCGATATTATGCTGTATCGATTATTTCCCCCACCCCTACTAAATCCATAATCCAGAGGTGGAAGAAATATTGAGTTGTTTTACTCAACCCTTAAATGGTTTCTGTACCCTGGGGGGGATTCAGTCATTTGAAGGGCTTGTGTAAAATTGGTGTAAAAACAGTGCAATTAAGGTGTAATATTTGTGCTGTGTGGGTGTTATATGGGTCTAATAAAAGTGTAGTATAGTAGTGGGTACAATATGGGTGTAAAAGCTGTGGGCCATATGTGTAATATGGGTGTAGGATTGCTGTTAGATTGGCGTAATATGGGTCTAATAACAGTGTAATGTAGGCGTAATATGGGTCTAATAACAGTGTAATGTAGGCGTAATATGGGTCTAATAACAGTGTAATGTAGGCGTAATATGGGTCTAATAACAGTGTAATGTAGGCGTAATATGGGTCTAATAACAGTGTAATGTAGGCGTAATATGGGTGTATTAAATGTGTTTTATTAACACCATTATTATACCACCATTACCAATTACCCTGGTAACTTCAAACATTACCCTTTTAAAAACATTTTTTGACAGATCGTGCCTACATCTTTAAATAGGGCAACGTTTGCCTCTCCGCTATTTTGTATAACATCATGACATCATTTCCACAGCATTTGCAGTTTTATCCAAATCTCCCGCTGTACATAAAGCACTTTCATTTCTTCATGGATCACATCCTATCTCCCCAACAGGAC